GGCTTTCACCAGTATCTGTGGAATTCAGAGCTATCCTATTTATGATTCTATTATTTATTATTATCTTCATCATCATTATTATTATGTAAGAAAATAAAGAATAGCTAGCATTTATATAGTCCTTTAAGGTTTGCAAAACACTTTGAAAATATTTTATTTTATCCTCAAAACAACTCTGGGAGGTAGATATTATTATTCCTATTTTGTTATCTATTAACCAACACACTGTGTTGAGTTGTTTCAGTCATGTTGGACTCTTCATGACCCTATTTGGAGTTTTCTTGGCAAACACAAGGGGGTGTTTTGCCATTTCCTTCTCAAGCTCATCTACAAATGAGGAACTGAGGCAAACGGGGTTAATTACTTGCTCAGTGTCATGTAGCTAATAAGTATCTAAGGCTGGATTTGAATTCAGGTCTTCCAGACTCCAGAGCCAGTACTCTATCCACTGTGCCAACTGTTCTGCCCCATTAACCAACACAAACTCTTGTTAAATGCACATGGAAAGTGTCCATCAAATCATGTTAAATTTAGTAGAACTGAACATTTCAAATACAGTAAACTCAAAATTTGTTCATTTTTCTCACAGAATGCACAAGTCAGGAAGATGATCACTGGGGCTCCCAGTCTTTGCAAAATCTGGCAGAGCTGCTTGGGAAGCATTGGGAAAGCATGACACTTTTCCCCAAAGGGGGAAAAATCACTACATCAAAGTGATCATTGTTCCATTTGCTTTTTCATTGAATGCTTCCAGGAGAACCATTACTTCATTCCAGGCTTTCTTTCTTCATAGAATCCTTTTAAGTTAAATGCTATAGTGTTTATTGTTGTATCAAAGATCAGAGCAGTTGGAATCAAATATTTTCAATTGTTAAACACAAATCACTCTGCTGACTACAACCATAGGAGACAACCTTTAAACAGTGGCTGATATTTAAGTACCTGAAAAATGCCCTACTGGTTTGAAATCAAGAGCTATCCAATAAAAGCATTAACCACCCTACTGTTAGGCTTTTCTCTCCTCTGACAAATAACAGGATTGAACATTCCCTCATACTTAACAAGTAGATAAATCTAAATCAAAGAAGCTTTGCAGTAGAAAGACTGGAGAGTTCACTAGGTCACAATACAGTAACCCGTAACACCTTATAGTGAATTAGCAAAGCAATTTTTCCTATGTGTAAAATAGGACTACTTTTATCCTTACCACCTTAATTAGTCATCTCTGTTCCATGATTGCCTCTACTCCTCTGTTTTTAAAGGAAGGTTACTTCCACCAAGAGCATAGTATTGGGTATAAAGCGCTAAATTTGGGGTCAAGAAAACCTCAGTTCAAATATGGTTTATGACACATTCTTGCCATATGACTATGGGAAGTAATTTAACTTCTAGGAGTCTCAGGCAACTCTCTAAGACATTCAAGTATAAGTCACGTGTCCTTGACATTCCCTACTAAAGTCCTCCTCCAATAGTTTATCAAGTCATGAAACTGGCCCTGAGTTACTGAAAAATATGCCAACAGAACATGAGCCCCAATCCAAGCTACTTGAGAGGCTTAAAGAACAAGTCTGGAAATGGAATAGCTCTGTTATCAAACTATCTGAGGATCAAACTAACTGAGTTAGAATTGGCTCATCACCAGAAGGCTGTTCATTAGGTTATGAATATTTAGGCCATGGAACCATTTATTAAAGTCATAGGTGGTTAGGTGGTTACCATCTGCATTAATAAAGAAGGCACTGTGGTATAATGAAAAAAGGAATGGACTTCAACTCAAGAAGACCTGCTATAGACAATTACTAGTAATGTGATAGTGGGCAAGTCACTTAACTTATCTCAGTTCCGGCTTGCTCATTTGTAAAATGAGAATAAGAGTGTCTACTTTATTTATGGGGGCAGCTAGGTGGCAGAGTGGATAGAGTGCTGAGCCTGAAGTCAGGAAGACACATCTTCTTGGATCAAATCTTGCCTCAGACACTTAATAGCTACATGACTGTGGACAAGTCACTTATCCCTGTTTGCCTCAGTTTCCTTATCTATAAAATGAGCTGAAGGAAATGGCAAACCACTCCAGTATTTTTGCCAGTCTCCTTGTTTTGCTCAATTCACTCTGTATTAGTTCATATAAGTCTTCCCTGGTTTTTCCAGACACCATCCTGCTCATCACTTCCTATAGCACAATAGTATTCCATCACAACTATATACCGCAACTTGTTCAGCCAATCCACAATTGATGGGAATTTCTTTAACTTCCAATTCTTTGGCACCACAAAAATAGTTGCTATAAATATTTTTGACCATATAGGTCCTTTCCCTTTTCTTTGATCTCTTTAGGATACAGATATTGCTGGGTTAAAGAGTGGCCACAATTTATAGCTCTTTGGGCATAGTTCCAAACTGTTCTCCAGAACACATGAACTAGTTCACAACTACACTCACAGTACATTAATGTACTTATTTTTCTACATCTCCTCTAACTTTTGTCATGTTAGGGAGTCTGATGGATGTAAGGTAGTATCTCAGAGTTGTTTTATTTTGCATTTCTCTAATCAGTAGTGAGTTAGAGCATTTTTGCGTAAGGCCATAGATAGCATTGATTTCTTCTTCTGTAAACTGCCTGTTCATATCCTTTGATTGTGGAATGGCTCTTATTTTTGTATTTGAGAAATGAGGCCTTAATAAAAGAAACATGCTGTAAAAAAAAAAAAAAATTAGGGGCAGCTAGGTGGCACAGTGGATAGAGCTCTGGCCTTGGAGTGAGGAGGACTTGAGTTCAATTCCAGTGTCAGACCTTTGACACTTAATAGCTGTGTGACCCTGGGCAAGTCACTTAACCCTGACTGCCTCATCAAGAAGAAAAAAAAATGATATTCTTTGTCTACAGCAAAATGTAATTTCCCTGATTATATCTTTTAACTGTCTATTTTTACTATTGCTTTGTCTGAGATCGTGATTACTACCCCTGCCTCTTTCATTTAAGCCTTAAGGAGAACAGATTATGTGCAAGTACCTTATTTTAACTCTTTGTATGTATGTCTTAGTGTTTCAAGTGTATCTCCTACAAATAGCATATTGTTGAATTCTAGTTTCTATTCCATTCTGCTATCTGCTTACATTTTATGAATGACTTCTCATTCACATTCAGTTATGATTACTGCATTGTTTCTCCATCCTATTTTCTTTGGTTTATCCTTCTCTCTCTCTTTTTATTTTCTCATCCCACCCCCCAAAGTATATTTTGCCTCTGACCACTGCCTCCTGTAATCCACCTTTCCCTTTATGATCCATCCTGCTTCTCTTATTTCCTTTCTGTTCTACTTCTCTGTTGGTAAAGATAGATTTCTATACCCAACTCTGTGTCTGTGTGTGTGTGTATGTGTATATGCATATATGCATATAATTATCCTCTTCGAACCAATTCTGATGAGAGTAAGTTTCAAGAATTGCAAGCCCCACCATTTTCTACTTCACTATAAAAACTTTTTTGTGTGCCTCTTGTATGTGAGATAATTTTCTTCTTTTTTCTTCTGCCTTCCTCTTTCCCCAATTTCATTCCTTCATTTTTTTTAGATGAACCCAAAATAATTAACCCACGCCCATTGCCTTTATATAGACTCATTTTTATTGCCTTATAATGGTAAATTCTTAGGAGTTTAAATGTATCTTCTTCCACTATAGAAATAAAAAGTTTTACCTTATTGAATTTTTTGTAGTTTTTCTTTCATATTTACCTTTTTATCTTTGCCTTGGGTTTGAAAGTCAAATTTCCTATTCAGCTCCAGTGTTCTCATAAGGAATGTTTAGAAATATTCACTTTCATTAAATGTCCATTTTTCCCCCTGAAGGATTATACTTAGTTTGTTTGGTAGGTTACTGTTAGTTACAGTCCTAGCTCCTTTGATTTCCAGAATATTCCAAACTCTTTACTCCTTTAACATATTATCCTTACTGTGGCTCCATGATATTTGAATGGTTTATTTCTGGCTTCTTGCAATACAGTCAATTTTCAATATTTGTGTGTTTAATTTTCTTTAATTAAAGCATTCATGTGATTTTATAAGTAACCACATTTTTGTTTTTGTGTTGGCAACTGTGCACATTTGTGGGTATGTGGTAGAGAAAAAAAAAGAGGCAGAATATCCATTAAAAGGAACTTATAAAATTGTTTGTGAAACCATTTCAGAAAGTGATAAAGTAACCTCTGAAGTACACAATTAGAAAATTGAAAAAAAAATGGAAAAATGGCAAAAATTTGTGGATAAATGAGATGGAGGTCACCTCTACCCTCCTGCTTAAGTTCCAGCTGGAGGCCAGGAACTCACCTTGAGGCATATGCTTTTTGTTGAGAATAGTTCAACTATATAGCCAAAAGGGAGATTAGAGAGGGAAGGTTTCCCCTTTCCCTTTTTTATCTCAGTGTTTCTCTGACATGTCTTCTCTTGTCCATTCCCATCAGATCAGGCATTGCCTTTACTCTCTTTTGCATCTTATGAGTTATTTCATGGTTATGGTTAGGAAAAATGCATACTATCAAAATTAATCTTTTGTTATAAAGAATTATATGCATATTTTCAATAATTTCTAAAGAAATATTTTAAGTTTTGGTAGTCCCAGGAACCTAACCCCCTATTTCCCATAGGTTCAGTGTTTCAGGATTTAGATTTCTGACTTTTACACCATTTTCTAGTAATGCTACTCTTAAAATCTTGAGGATTGACTCTTTTATTCTTGAACTAGGTGCTCTGGAACTTAACCATAATATTTCTGGAATTTTCCCTTTGGGGATCTCCTTTCAGATTGGTGATTCTTTAAATTTCCATTTAACCCACTGGATCTAAGATACTGACCCAATTTCCCTTTATAATTTCTTTAAATATGATGTCTAGGCTCTTTTTTTTTTTTGATGAAGGAGTTTGGGCAATCCAATAATTCTTAAATTATTTCTTCTTTTTTTTAGTTTTTTTTTCATTCTAGAAATTTAATTACAGCCATGTAATTTTTTACTCTTGCATTTTCTCAATAGTTTCTTCTTTATATTTGCCCTTTTCCTTTCCTACCTGGTGAGATTTGGCTTTTTGCTCAAGGATCTTTTTGCGATCTTTGTCCAGTTTTAGCCTTGTGATAACCACCTTGCTGGCATGAATGCCCACATGGATAGTCGTACCATTAATCTTCTCCCACTGCACATGCTGAATGTAGATCACAAATTTCTTTCTGTAAACGTGGACTACCTTGCCAATTTGCTGTCCATTGTAGTATCCTTGAACAACCTGGACTTCATCATCTTTTCGAATGGGCATGGAGTGGACATTATACTTCTGTCTCAGCTTCTTAGAAAGAGAAGACATAATTTTCCTCCATCTGTGGGAAAAGGCATTGAAATGCCTCTTGCAGTTCTTGTTTCGGTCAGAGGTCACAAAGGGATTGAAGTTAATTTTGACCTCAGAGCCACTGCAGAAGAGCAATTATTTCTTCTTGATCTATTCCCCTGGTCAGTTATTTTTTTCTGATGAGATATTTCCCTTTTTTTTTCTTTTTCCCCCATGTTTTTAATTTCTTTTTATAGTTTCTTGCTGTTTTGTGGAGTAATTAGCTTCCATTTCACCAATTCTAATTTTTAAGAAATTATTTTCCTCAGTGAGCTTTTGTTCCTCTTTTACCATTTGGCAATTTTTTTAAGGAGTTTTTTTTTCCTTTTCCAATATTTTTGTGCCTCTTTTACCAAGCTGTTAATTTTCTGTTCATAATTGTCTTGCATCACTTTCATTTCTTTTCCCATTTTTTTCCTACCAGTCTTACCCCTTTATTTAAGTCTTCTAGGATGCCTTGCTGGCCTTTGGTCCATTTACATTTTTCTTTGAAACTTTGATTGTAGCTGTTTTCACATTCTGAGTTTGTGACTTGGTCTTTCTTGACACTTGAACTAGCTTTTTTATGGTGAACTTATTTTTGTTGTTGTTATTTGTTCATTTTTCTAGCCTACTTTTTGACTTTAGACTTTATGTTAAAGTGAGCTCTGCTCACCTGGACACAGGGAGACATAGTCCCAGTGTTCAGGATTTTTTGTGCTACTGTTTTCAGAGCTAGTTCTGAGGGTCTGCAAGTTTTTGGTGCTTCTAAGGTGGTGTGATCTGGGGAGAGGTATGGTCACTACTCTCCTGGTTTATGCTCTGGTGTTTACCCAGTAAAGTCTACTGCTCCCCTATAGCTGCCAACTGCTAGTTCTCATCTCTGGGCTGAAATTGAGATTAGGTCCCTTGCTCCCTTGTGACTGACCCCCCCAGGGCTTTTCTCCACTCTGGAATTGTGACCCAGAACTGTGTATGGGCAATTCAACAGAGTCCTATGCCCCATGCCAAATCCCCTATAATTTCTTTCTGACTAGTTTCCTGACCCCTTTCATGACAGTTCATGAAGCTGCTGCTGCCACAGCTGCCTCCAAAGCTCTTTGCTGTTATTGCTGTAAAAAGTACAGCCCACAACCTTGTGTCACAGACCTCTTCTACTAACCTCCTAAGTGTTAGGCTGGAAAAATATCCCATCTTGACCTTTTGTTGGTTCTGCTGCTCCACAGTTTGATTTGAGATGTTACTTTAAAATTATTTGGAGGAAAGTATTGGGAGAGATTGGCTGGGTAACTCACTCTACTCCACTATCTTGGTTTCAATGATGATCAGTAAAGAAAAATAATAGACCTTTCAAATATTTGAGGAAGAGATATTTAGTTACTTACTTACTTACATATTTCCTGGTATAGGCTGTATCATCACAACAGGTCCAAACTGTTGGGGGTTTTTTTAAAGCAACATTCAAACTTAGCCTTTTTGTTTTCCCCTTCCTCTCATGCTTATTGCATAATGGACTAGAAATCATATTTGATTGACAAGTGTAAAATGTTCCAAATGGAAAAAAGAGCATGCTTACTAGGCACATTTTAATTATGAAAAGATTTTTTAAAAAAAACCCATAAAACTAGTTCTACTCCACTGAGATGAAGGATTTAAAAAAAAAAAACAAATCAGCAGATATGTTACTTTCCCCTGAATACCTAAGTACAAAGTGTTATGCCTAAAGGAAGGAATCATACATGGTAGGAGGGAGAAATATTATAGAGGTCATAGATAACAGATTATTATATTACTATACATTATCATTAGAGTCTTAACCTGGATTCCTTTGAACCTTTAAAAAATAGTTTAATAACTTTTAATATAATTGGTTTTCTTTATAATCTCACATTTTTTTTTGTTTTATTAAAAACATTATTCTGAGAAGGCATCAAAAATCTTTACCAAATTGCCAAGGAAGTCTTTGGCTTAAAAAAAAGATGAAACATTTGTGATATAAAACATATATTGCAAATGTTATGCAAACCCCAATGGGACAGTGTCTATAGTCAGAATGATCAGCTAATATAATCACTGCATTTAGTACTCAGGACTTGAGCTCAAATACCTGTAGGCTATTCCTTTAAATTCATCAGTCTTCAGAGACATCATATCATATCAACTATTTTCATCATATGGAAGAGTATGCCTAGAAACACATCATTGCTACACTTGCTGCTATATCTTTCTTTGCCTATATGTAATGAATGCCTGTAAACTGCCCCCCCAAAAAATAAATAAAAATATAAAAAAGTTAGCCAAAAACTTGGATTTTATGAATCTATATAAAGAAACAGTAACTGATTCATCCAATCAATTAAAACTGTGAACTCAATGAATATGAATTACCTAATACTTTTTATAAGCTCACTATTAGCAAGACACATATACATATAAATGTGTATAGATGTGTATGTGTCTATGTATAATCATCTTATTTGATCCTCACAACTTTATGAGATAGGTAGTACTGATATTAGCATACTCATTCTAGAGATGAAGAAACCAAAACCAAAAAGAAAAAGCTTAAGTGACTTGTCCAACACAATAAAGGACAAGTCAAGAAATCAAACCCAGATCCTTGAAGTCCTCTTCTACTACCAAGTGGCGACTGTGTCATGGAAGTCAGATGACAAATATTCATAATTTTTTTTAACTGTTTGGTCAATAAATATTGATACTAAGAAGACAACACCAGCACTCCAATTGGAATTGCTAATGACAATAAAGTCAATGGAAGAAACAATCCAGAAAAAAAATCATTTTATACTTTAAATTCAACTGTTTACTGAAGTGTTAACACAAACTATTTAGCTTTCATAAGCTAAATAGCTTTTCAGAAGAGAAAACACAAGTTTGGAGACTTTGGGCAAGAAAAGACCATGAATTTCAAGTACAAAGGCTGAGAAAAGGTGGGGCACTGTTGTGTGGGGCATACAGTTAGACTAAAGACTGTTTAAACAGTTTGGTTACAATGAACTGTGGCTGCAAAATCTTTACATCAGGATCAATAGAAACAGTTAGCCAAGTATTTTTAAACCCACAGGTCCCTTCTGTAAGCTTTAGCTGTAGTCACTAGGTCTTTTAGATAAAGCAAGAAGAGTAAGAATAATTGACTGAATTCATGTGGGGAGCAATGCTTGAATCTGATCATTTCTCCTTTGGTGATTCTCATCCTCTCTCCATGAAACAGTGCTGCTCCTCTAATTTCACCTCCTTTTGCTTCTGATTGTGTTTTTCCTTTATTTTTCTACAGGCAACTTTCAGCTACATGTATAATTGTACCTAATTTCATGAGCTTCTAATAAGGAACCCTAAATTAGACAATGACGACTAAATAAGAGCCTTTTGGTTGTTTCCTTCTCCCCCCCCCATCTTCACATAAAATAAAGACAAATCCCACCAAGTTTTAATTTATATTAATTATTCTTATCATTAAATACATAATGAGCCAGAGTCCCCAGATGAAACGTATATCTATTATAGGTACATATGCAATATTTACGTATTTGGTGATGGAACAGAATTTAGAATTCAGTAGTTACTTAAATTTATAGAAAATTAAGGAGGTAGGAATATTACAATATTACTAATGATATTAGTTAAAATGTTATCAGACATTTAATATTTGAAGGAAACTATTGAAATTGGTGCCCCCCCTTTACTAAACTAAGCCTGTTGTTCTCATTCCGTATAAAAATAGCAGCCCAATAATTATGCAGAATTAGAGGTCTGTGCATATAGATTTGGTGTCTACATTGCCACATACATTTATTGTCAAAATGCAGAGAAGAGAATTAATAGAAAAAATGCACTAAAATAATTTCAAAGAAATTGTTATTTTTCCCCAGATCCCAGGCAGCCAGTGCTCAGGTTCCTGGCAGAGTAAAGCAGCAGGAGCCAGCTAATGAGGCAAGTCATCCGTTATCATTGCAGTGCTTAGCCTGATTTAGCTATCTGAATCAAAATGACAGATCCAGGAGGAAGGCTCCTGGGAACTTGACTGAAAATGTGATGTTGATAGAACCATGCATTGATCAGTCTAGTGGAGTGCCTCTTGGTCTCCATGCCAACAATGAAAAGAAACAAAAACTCTGGGGTTAAAGGGCACGCTTTAGGAAAACTGATATTGGGCAAGATATTTTCTTTATAAACAGGTTTAGTTAAACATTGAAATAAGCTTCGTGCCCTGAACAACTCAGGGCTTCTCAACACATAAGGGGTTTTATAATGTAATTTCAGCTTGTCAGGAACAATTTTCCTCTTTCCCTTTAGGATTACTTATAAGTTTAGCTTTTGCAGCTATAACCCATGTCATTGGTTGCTTATTAACTTTATTCCAGTGTGAAAACAGGGAAAGTTTAACTCATTCAGTACCATGGCAGGCTTGCTATTCCCCAAAGCCAGGAGACAGCCATTTTTACAGGGTTTTGACATGCTAGACATGAATTTAAGAGGCTCGATAAAAGAGGTGCTAAAAATAAGAAAAAGAAAGACTCTAAATTACCTGGAGGGAATACAGGCTGTTGACAAATAGTTCTGTCTGGCAGCTCCCTGCTAGGGATAGATTTTTGATACTTTTGATCAGTGGTGTAGGCAGGCTTTTCTTGTTACAGGCAAACTGCTAATGTTCTCAATCCATGAATGAGGGGCACTTTAAAATCCACAGATGACTAGGGAGGGATCACCCTTCCAAGGATATAATAACTTACTGTTTAAGCCCTTTCCATCACAAAGATAAGAACAGAAGATGGGCTCTGAATAAAATGATTTCAGCATAGCTGTCTCAGTTATCATTATGGTAAATAAGCACACACAGACATCTTAGGGACTACACCATATCTTCCATAGGATGGGTCTGGTTTTTTTTTCATCTAAAGAGAAACAAGGGACATAGAGGTTCTGATATTCTCCCAGAGTCCCTGAAATGGATAGAGATCCCTGAGTTAGGATTTTTACAGAGATAATTTAATACTATTTCAGATTTGGTTTTCTTGGCCTTTCATACAACCTTCTTGGAATCTTTAGCTTAAAAAGGCTTGGTTTATGAAGAATGAAATCAGCATCTATGAGAAATCAAAGTGCTATTACCTGTAGATTCTAGCCTAAAGTGCTTGTTTCCTTCTCCTTTGCTTCCCATTCTGATTTCAGTCTCTGTGCCCTTGATTAGGCTGTCTCTCTTGCCTAGAATGCCCTCCCCATCACCTCTTACTCATAAAGGCCCTAGTTTCCTTCAAAGCTCAGCTCAAATAATACATCTTTCAGGAAGCCCAGCTTGATCCTTCCAGGTTTTAGTGTCTTCCCCTTGGGAATACACACATACACATACAGATACAGACACATAGACACACACATACACATATACATACACACAATGTAATTTTCACTTTACATTTTGTGTCATCCTATAGAATTTAAGTTTCTTGATGGCAGGAACTGTTTCATCCCCCCTCCCCTTCTCCAGCACCTAGAACAGATATGGTAGCAAGTATAGGCTTAATAAATGATTATTGAATGAAATAATAAACAAATGGTACAATATTTCAAAGTCTCTCTCTCTCATCTGTATTAAATGAATACTCTAGTTATTCAGGCTACTAATCTCAGTGATATTCATTCTATTTTTCAGTATGTCCAGCACTTTTGTTTCAGCCAGGGTTGGCAGTAAATAAACAACTGATAAGTACCAATTTTTTTTCAAAATTTTGCATCTACTTTTGGACTACATGTGCTGAATTTGAGGTTAACACCGAACACTGAATAAGGAAGAATACATTTCTCAGCTGTTTAAAATATATTCTCTATCCCTCAACTTTGTGTAGTGTCTCTCACACTTCTTCCACCACCACAACCCCAACCCCCACCCATAACCTTCACCAGTGAAGACCAATCAATAATCACTTGCATTAAGCAATGTGTTGGCCATTATACATTTGACATTTATTTATTATTGTATTTTCTTAGTGCTATACATTTAACTTTTATGAGCTATTAATGAGCTACTACCTTTCACAGATTCTAAGCACTTTTTTGTTTCTGTACTTCCATGGAACTGTAATCTCATTGCTGTGTATATTCCCTCAGGTGACTATCCATAAATTTTAATTCTATGTAACCCTTTTCAATATCCTCCTATCAATATTATAGAGGAAGTATTCCCAACAAATTGAAGCCACTTTGTTAGATTTTTGGATATTGTTTACGGGGTGAAATAAAGAGCATGGTGACTACCTTAATGCAATTTACAATAAATTGTCTCAATTTTCAAAAGTTATATTTGCTTTTTCAACTGTTATTGTAATATCAGAAAACAACATTTTAGAGGAAATGAAAAAAATGATGCAAAGCTAATCAGGGGGCATCTTGGGCATGCTGTGTTGCTTCTGCTGCTACTGCTGCTGCTATTGCTGCTGCTGCTCCTCCTCCTCCTCCTACTACCTCCTATTCCTACTACTGTTGCTAAGAAAGCACTTCCTAGAAGCTACCAATAGCTCTTGACCTTATAACAAACCAGGGCCCAGAAATTTATCATCAACAGTGAAATTTCATGGCTGGGAATCTGATACTTGCCCTCTCACAAATACCAATTCATCTACATGGGGCTACTCCAAGGCTAACGAAAGGGCACGGTTAGAGCAAGAGGACTTATTGTGGTCTATAATCCATTCTTGACTCCACTTTGTTCTAATGTTCTGTGTTATCTGTCAATGCCCCTGCTCTTTGGACATAATTATGTTAAGCTCCCACCAGTCATTCATGATGTGTGTGTGTGTGTGTGTGTGTGTATTAAAGGATTTGTCTTTCTTTGCTATATCGAATACTACACAAGGTTGCTTTATAAATGAATATAACTGCCACTTCCCTTCTGCCTATGTTTGTTGATGAGAGCTTGCTCAATATTTAAAGGGATGTTTTCCTCCTACCCTGTGTTAAATGTCATTGTTCAGTTCAATAATTATTTCTCAATCTTTTCTTTTCTTTGATCTGTCACACACACACACAAACAAATTCCAAGGAATCTTCATCATGGAGTACCTAAAAAATGGTGATCAGGTATCTGAACTACCACTTCCCAAACCTTCCCATTCCACAGCACTCAACTCTAAGTT